ACCTGTGGCGCGCATAGTCAATCCCCTTGCGTTTGACGTTTACACACTACCGCCATCTGTTCAGCGTACTACCCACCACAGTGTACTCAACAGATGGCGGTAATGTTTTTGCGATGATGTTTTACAGTGAGAAATATTCAATGTGTTATGTCTGTTTGTCTGTGCCCTTATTTTATCAAACTTTCATAGCGAATCAAAACAAACATAGTGTAGTACTAGAATTTTTACTAGAATGGGGTTCCTTAATCTATTTGCTTGGGACCAATAGGCTAGTCAAGTAGTGAGCCAATTTAAAATCGATAGTTTCATCACAGACAAACAGACGTAACTCTTTGAAAAAGTTTTTCTTGAAAACATAGTATCTCAAAACATAGGACCTCAGTAGCGACATCTTTCAGGCTTCTCGCGGAAAACAAGCTTGCTCGCTAACTCGCAAACAATATTGCATAAAAGTTCTATGAATGTATAGAAACGTCAAAGTGATCCGATGCCAGCGCTGCGGCGAGTAGTTCGCGGAACTGATAATATTCAAATCAACAGTTAAATACGTGAACGAAGATACACAATGAAGAGTTACGTCTGTTTGTCTGTGGTTTCATATTGATTGTTGTTATAACTCTGTAATCTGAACCTGTCTGAACGTACTATTTGCTTTGATTCGTCAACTAGAGTTGTCCATGATTGACAACTAGAGGCGCTATAGTTATAGTAGGAAAAAAATGTTCAGCGCACCACGAGTCATGTTAACCTTGCACCATATTGCACTCAGTTTGACAGTACTGCAGGGACGTCTTTCACTTCTTCGAAGAATAAGAGAAGGTTCGGTAGAGTTTTTGCTTTGTAGTTCATCTAAATTTTAATATTCGAATATTTCCAGTTGCAGTACCGACGGCAGTGTATATTCACTGTTTCTGATAACTATTCCATTTCGAGTAGCGATAAAGTAATCTGCCATGGCTGCAAGCGCCAGACTATTTTCCCGTGTAAAAGGTAAGTCTCCTTATTCGTGATCCATCAGCCAGACGATTTGCCGACATATGTGAGGAAATTATGTAATCTGACTTCTAAAATTAGGCATAATCAACTGAAAACATCTGCTCCTTTCACTTTTGACTAGCCTGATACAAAACAAACATTTCCTCGGTCTTAGAAAATAATTTTTAAAGGTACTATACAACATTGCACGTAGTCAATAAGAATCCCTACTGCACTACTATAACCTTGAAGCAAGCAAAATGAGTGAATCATACAATGTTTCTTTTCGCCATCATTTTAGAGGGATTCACAACCAGCGTCCGATTTGCGAGCTATGAGAGTACTCGCAAAAATCTGAAATTGAACTCAAACTCGAAAGTCATCTGCCAAGGATTTACGGGAAAACAGGGCACTTTCCATTCCCAACAAGCTTTGGAGTATGGTACGAAGATAGTCGGAGGAGTCTCGCCCGGCAAAGGTGGACGCACACACCTAAATCTTCCAGTTTTCAATTCCGTGAAGGAAGCGAGAGCAGCCACTAATGCTGATGCTACCGTAATCTACGTTCCTCCCCCTGGAGCAGCTAATGCCATTATGGAAGCCATTGAAGCGGAGATGCCACTGATTGTGTGCATCACTGAAGGTGTCCCGCAGCATGACATGGTGAAGGTGAAGCATGCTCTGCTGGCTCAGGATAAATCTCGTCTGGTTGGTCCCAACTGCCCAGGAATCATTGCTCCCGAACAAGTGAGTTTATTTTACTATGCGATTTCTCCCATTTTCTTATCATCGAGCAAAAGTCAATGTGGGTTCAAAAGTCACTCTTGCTAGCGGTGCTCTACGCTGATTGTGGTCGAGGAAAGTAAATTGTTTGATGATGAACGATGCTGTTGTTTTGATATTGATAAACGGATCTTTTCAGCAGCTCAAGTAGTTTGTTGCTTGTGGTGGAGTTACTGCTATGACAGTTAAAAAAAAAGTTATATTTTAATTCATTATCATTTAAATTGATTTTATCTTAGTTTCTTAAATGTCAATATTCGGGGTATTTTTAGTTGAATAATCTAAAGTAGTTATTGTCTTAGCAGCTTTAAAAAATGTTATGGCGCTGATAGGTAAAATAGTTCATCAAACAAAGATTGCCATTTTCCTCTATTTGCTTCTTTCCACATCACATGATATCAAGTATCCCACGCTTGAAGGATAGGTAATTGATGCTAATTGTTAATTTCTTTCATAGTGCAAAATTGGTATTATGCCCGGACACATCCACAAGCGAGGCAAGATTGGAGTTGTATCCCGTTCGGGAACGCTTACATATGAAGCCGTGCATCAAACGACCGAGGTCGGTCTCGGTCAAACGCTCTGCGTCGGAATCGGAGGTGATCCATTCAACGGAACCGATTTCATCGATTGTCTGGAAGTTTTTCTGAAAGACCCCGAAACCAAGGGTATCATCTTGATTGGTGAGATTGGTGGTGTGGCTGAGGAGAAGGCTGCAGATTATCTGATGCAGTATAATCAGGTGAGTTTCAGTTTCAGTGCTGACATGTTTTTTTTTCGTGGGTGTTAATCTACAGTTCAGCGTTTTTGGACTTTGATATTTATCAGTGGCGCCCCGTAACTTCACTTTTTACCTGTGCACCAATTCGGCTGTACGCGAATCGACTGAAAATACATTTAATCTTCTACTTTACTCAATATCTATCAATTGCAAGCATTATTTTGATAATTGTTTATGTTTTGAGAGTTGGTGCTCTGGTAGATTGAGGTTAAGGAAACGCCACTGATACTAATTACTCAATCATATTATATACTCAATGTGGGTCATACCCACAATTAACAAATTATTGAAATCACATCGCATGTGACATGTGCGTTTGTTTTATGTGAAACATGTTTTGATTCATTATACCCCGTACAGACTATGGCTTATATCATGTAATATAGGCTGTCTTGCAATGATCACTCATACATCTAGTTTTCACTGGAAATTCTATATATGAGTGCTAATTGCAAGATAGCCTACATTACATGATATAAGCCATAGTATGTACGGGGTATTGACTGAAATATCAGCATTAATGGATTAGCTTTATTTTGGACCATAACTTTTGAAGTAAAAAGTTCACCCCGGGAATTTGGATGTTGTGATCGACTTGATTGGTACATATCCAATTAGGCTCATATGACTGTTCTAAAACTTCTGGCATGTGATCATCAACTTGGATAAAACACGAGCGAATGAAATCTGCGGATGAATGAATTTTCTAGGTTTAAATGCGGTATGCGAAAAATTTCATCACCGTATTAAACGGGGTCTGACTGTATGTAAAAGCTTACGGAATGACTTAAAAATTTAAGGATGTCCATACATGTTTCTGGAATCTTAACTTTTTTAATTTTACCTCCAAGAATTAGTGGTATAGTTTTGGATATGTGTATTTATTTTGAAAATCAAATTCTCATGAATATTAGAAATGCTCAGAAGGAAGAGAATAGCGGAGATAAAACTGTCAAAATCTGAGCAGCCAATCGAACATTCCCATAAGATGTTTTCCGAGGATTTCTTATTCTTACTAGATTAAATTTGAGAGTATTGCAATCGAACAGAAATTCAATCACCTTTATGTTTCGTGTACTTCTCAAATTCAGCTAGATTTTGGAATCAAAAGCAATATTTTAACTCTATTGATCAATTGATCTTAGTTGATTAATTAATGGTACCAAGAAATGTGCAAAATATTTCGATGCAATCAATTACTATTTTGCACGTAAATCGAATCAAAAATAAAAGTCATGTGCTAGCTTCTAGCAAGGGTTGCAAGATAATTTAGGGGCAAATCCCTGCTGCCGAATTGTATTTCTAGTTTTTAGAATCAATATAATATTGTTTGTTCGTTAATTAATTTCACCATGAAATGTGCCAAATATTGCGATGTACTCAATTATTGTTTTGCACGTACATCGAATCGAAATGAAAAGTAATCTGAAATGCTAGCTTTTAGCTAGGGTTGCAATTCTAGATAGAGCTGGAATTAGGGCGTAACAGCTTTTGTAAACAATGACTTCTATCGATGATTTCTAGGAATTCAAGGCACGCCCACGCAAACCAACATAACCATCAGATAGGGGAAGTCTTCTCCTATCCGATGGTGATGTTGATTTGCGTGGACGAGCCTTGACTTTCTAGAAATCATCGAGAGAACTCATTGTTTACAAAAGCAGTTACACCCTAATTCCAGCTCTAGACTTTCATCTCCTCCATCTATCGTATACAAAATTACCACTTTAGTCTGTTATTTGAAATTAGCATCTTCAACTATGTAAATCGTTGACTTCACGCAGAAGTAATACAAAACATATCATGGTGGCCAGCAAACCGGGAATACCGGGAAATATCCGAGAATTTGAAAAGTAACCGGGAAAACCGGGAAAGACCCGGGAATTCGGTTAGAGAACAGGGAAAACTAAACTTACCATAGGAACAATTTTTTACACCAGAATTTCATAATAAACCATTACAACAGAGTGATCATTTACCAAATAAATGTCTTGCTCTATTAAGTGCATAATTTTCTTCAGTTTTTCGTCTTATTGTTTTTAAAATTTAATCACTCAGCTATATTGCAAATTAATCTTTGTCGTTTCAATTTCAGATGTAAAGTACATGGGCCTTAAAAGAAAATGTTGAAGATGCTGGGCTTTGGAAACAAGTATTTTTAAAAACCGAAATTGAATTATTCTTTTCCGGGGTTATAATTTTTCGTTGTTCAAAATTCTCATGATATGAATTCCAGAATCAACTTGAAATTCTGCTCTGAATTATCATGGAATTCTTCTGAAATAAACCAGAAAACACTCCTCGTAACAATTACTGTTGAATTCTTTTTGGAATTTCCTTGCAACCCCTTCTAAGAATTTAATTGGAATCCTTCTTAGAATTTCCTTGAACCTATTCGGAGACTTCGATTCCTTTGAAAATCTTTTCAAAAATTTATTTTAACTCTTTTCAAAATAGCAGAAACCTTTCGAAATTTTATTAAAAAAAACCCCTTGGAGTATTTTAAAGAATTACCTTCTAATTATCAGCATTTAGCGTAGGCTAGTTCATCTCCGTCCCATACGAATCTCTTCAGAATTACGTACGAATTTTCCTTAAAGTTTTGTTTTTCACAACTCCTTTTGAAATCCTCTAAAACTACTTAAGAATTTTATTTAGAACGTGCATTTTTCTCCACAAAAATCCCTCCAAATTCATCAAACAATTTTTAAGAACTTCATGTCAGAATAATTCTGGAATTCTGCTCAGAACTTCTCCTTCGAAAACTGTGTGGGAATTCTTCTCAATATTTGTTTGAAATCAACACTTTGAATTCTTTTAAATTTTACTGAAAATTCCAGGGTTTGTCCGCTAGATTCTATAGATTGTTTCGTAATTTTTTTTTATCACCCTTAAAATGTTTCCAAGTCTCAGAGCGTGACAATTATGACTCCACGTCTCATAAGTATGATTTTTTTTTCAAATATGTGATCTTGAAAAAAATTTAAATCTCACATTTTATTTATTTTTTCTCCAAATCTTGAAGATTGTTATTAATCACAAATTTTGAAGAAAAGTTCTAGTTTCAGACTACACAAATTTCAAAGCCCCAGAATCTTGGGAACCTTCTTAAATCACTTTTTTTTTATCCTTTCAGTAAACTCCTTTCAGCACGTTTTTAAAAATGCGTTCAATTTCGTTTTTTGTAAAATATTAGCAACCGGGAAATTTGTAAGATTTGAACCGGGAAAACCGGGAAAAAACCGGGAATTTCAAAATGAAAATTCACTGGCCACTCTGACATATAGTCAAAGTACATAACCCTGGATATGAGCATACCATCAATTACTGTCATTGATCGAAAGGTAAAGTAGCAGCACCTACCCCACCTGTGTCCCCTCGAGATCGTCAAGTCGACCACATACCGTGGTAGGGTAAACAATAGCTGCAATTTCCAAACCTACGACTGGATGCCTTCCTTCAAATAACAACTGAAGTGCGGTAAAAATCTACTATCTATATGCAATTTTCACACTGCCGTACTCTAACGGAACTATCAACTCTATACTTTCATCTCCTCCTCATCTATCGTATAAAAAATTACCACTTTAGTCTGTTATTTGAAATTAGCATCTTCAACCATACAAAATATTTTTTTTTCCATTGTGGCTTCAAAAATGTATATGTACGGCGTAAAACTGGAAATTAAAGAATCCGTTAAACTGAGTAACCTTGTCGAAAATTGCAAATCTACACACTAATCCAGGCCTCCATCGTTCGGTAAATTTTGAACTACAGAACTGTTCGGTAAAAGTTTAAAAATCAGTGAAAAATCCAATTATTAGAAAATTTATTATCAACTTGTACAGAATTTGTTCGGTTTACCCCTTTTATTGATGAAAAATAAAATTTACAAATTTTCTTAATTTCTCACGTGTAACGGTCATTTGAAAATTTTACCGACTTGTTCTGCTGTTCAAAAACTCGGTAAATTCCTACCGACTTCGGTGATCTGAATTAAGTGTGTATAGGAAGCATATCACGGCGTTAGAGGGTTTTAACCGCGCTACGGGATTTGTAGTCCCAATGTGAGCAGCAGTTATCAAAAGAGAAAGGCGATGGGAAGCAATAAAAGTGACACGTGATAGTAGTTGTTTGTGTTTGAGAGTAATTTTCAACAGTAATATCACAGACAAACAGACATAACACTCGCAATTTGTTCACCGAACCAGCATTTAACGAACAATGTTCAGCGTAATGCCTACCACAGTGTACTCAACAGATGGCGGTAATGTTTTAGCGACGATGTTTTACAGTGAGAAATATTCAATGTGTTATGTCTGTTTGCCTGTGGTAATATGTACTATGAAACATTTCTGGATCAACAATAGAAAAGGGCCCATCAGCATTTGTAAACAAACCGTTCCAAAGCCCTTTACTCACAAGCGAAGACCACCCACGCAAACCAACACCATCATCTGATAGGGGAAACTTCTACCTACACGATGATGGTCTTGGTTTGTGTGACCGGCCGTCGCTTTGTGAGGAACGGTTTGTTTACAAATGCTGATGAGTTCTTTTCTATTGTTGATCCAGATTTTCTGGAACCAAAAGTGATGTCGTCATCAGGGGCGGGATGTGCTATCAAATCGGCCTACTGAACAGCCTCAATGAGATGTAAATATGTAAGGCTCAGTGAATTTGTCATCTCTTTCGTTATCCCGCTGTTTAAATGGTTGAAGGAGTGTGACGTCATACTCCGTCATCCATTTAATCAGTCGGAGAACGAAAGAGACGACACATTTAGTGGGTCTCACCTGCTTACGCTTATTGATTTTCCTTATGTGAATTTGGTTCCAAAAATCAACAAACCATCTTTGCTTATGACTTTGTTGTCGTTATTTGTCGACATCAACAAATGCTACACTGAAGGCCGGCGCACAATGGATACGTTTTCAGGTTTTTTGACAGTTAGCCCATGC